TTGCTGCTAAAAGGAAAGAAAATAAACAGGGTATCCTGCGATGTTTAAAAGGACAGCAGCAGATTTCTGTGAGACCTACTGAAGGTTTTCTCCTCTGTTTGTACAAGTATTCCCAAATTATCTTAGGAAACTAATAGCTAGGTTAAATAGGTTTTAAATAGATTTAAATTTTGCCTTAAGTATATTAGGGAACAGTGCACCTCTGCAGTGTAGTGAAAGCAGTAACTCTAGGAGAGGGGAGATGACAAATAGCAAGTGAATCTCAAGCTGTTCACAACGTAAATATCTCTCCTCAGCTCAAAGCAACAAAGCTCTCTAATTATTTTTATCTATTCAAGGTGAAATCAAATGACATTACAACACAAATCTCACTAATACCTTATGCAGGGCCAGTGTTTAATAGCACAGATTAGTTATGAAACTACTGCAACAGCAACAGACTTCAGTATGGTCCTGACTGTTTAAAAGCTGACAGTGATTTCAAGGGACAAGTTTTAGCCTTGTTCTGCCCTAATTATTTCAACATATTAGCACCTGAGGAATACTTGACTCAACCCCTTCCCTCTACCCACTTTAAATTCATGATTTATACACAGGCCAACCAGGATTATATGACAAACATGACTGACCACTTCTTTCCCACTGTAAGAGAGCCATTAAAAATAAAATGAGAATTTAGTTAGTTATTGACAGAAGCACTGGGAGGGAGCAGGAAGCTAAATGACTTGCTGCAAAATGAAATTGTGGAAACTAGGAAGTCAATCAAAGCACTGCCTCAGGTCATCTCATCTGCCCTCCAGTCAAACCAGAGCTGTTGCTGAGCATCTCTGCCCCAAGACCTCTCCAACTGGGCTGATGTTTTTGGTGTTAGAAACCCATCTGTAATATAGGAAGTTATTTTACTGTCTCCTAAATCTCCTGCTCCAAAGTTTTGCAAACATCCATACAAGCATCAGTGTCTAAAGAGCTTCATCACTGCAAGGTATGCCCATCTTGTGCTACTTTCTTCACTCCTGCCATGCCAGCCACACAGTAGCAACAAATCTCTCTAATTTTCTCAGTGTCTGGGTGGTTATTTGACAAATATCTGCATATTTGTATATGCACAAACTAGCACCTAGCACATTCCCCACTCCTGTACTCACAGAAAGCAAGGCTTGCACTCAGGTCCTGTCCTTACAAGAAGGCAATAAGCCTTAAAATAAGAAATGGAATCGATCTAGATCCCAGCTATTCCTTGTTTGGCTACATTTTATGTAAAAATAAGAAAATGCCAACAAACCTGCGCCTCCCACAAAAAGCCCAGCTGCACATACACCTCTCTGGGACACACCACAAAACTCAGAGTGAGTGTCTCTATTTGCCAGCTGATGGATGCCAGCCTGGCTGTCCCAGCAAGGACCAAACCAGGGCAGCTCCAGAGCTGGAACCATGTGCTCTCTAGGGCTTGCATTAGAGAGCCCCCACACCCAGCTCAGGCTGTGAGCAGCACCCACCACCTGCAGCTGGGTCTGGCAAGATGGGGAGCACACAGCCCAGAGCAGCCAACAGAGAAACGCTGTTTCACAGCAGGGTGACAAAGGGGGGTGTTTGCCTGCAGAGACCTTTCTGCCCTGGCTTCCTTGGGAAGCGACTCCGCGGTTCCTCCCCAAGGAGCCACCTCCAGCCATCCACCTCTGGCTCAGGAATTTCAGCTGTCTCACCAGCTTCCAGCTCCAGGCTGCAGAAATCCCTGTCCTCTCACAGCTCATCTCTGGAGCAAAGTTAAGCCGAACAGTCAGCAAGGCTGACTTCCAGTTCCCCTCATCTCACCAGTCTTTGGGTATCCCTGTCCCAGAGTTTGGGTAACAACCAAGCATCCCAGGGCAGCAACACTTCTGGGACAGGCAAAGTCCAGGGCACACAGGTGATGCTCATAAAACCCATTTGCAAGGATGTGATTTCTGGCTTGACCAGGATGCCAATTATTGGCATCACACTCAATTTCCTGAGGAACAGGACTAAAATACAAGAAAACTCTGGAGAGTATGACCATGAGACCACTTAATCCTAAATTTCCCTTCAGAAACTTGACCTGAGTAAGAAATGGGGAGAGGGTAAAGTAAAAGACCTGAGGAAATGTTTAGTGCTGCCTTCCTGAGTTATTTTCTTTGCTTCCAGCAACTGGCATTTTGGAGAATTCTTGATTCAGAGTAAACATATACACTGCATTTAGGTCTTTGTGGGACAAGAGGAAGGGTCCCCCAGCTCTGGGTTTTTTTCATAGCAATCAATTGATTTTCAGCTTTTTGTCCCTTTTCATGTGTCTGTATTTCAGTTTCTGAAAAGCAAAATTTAAGCTGATTGATACAATAATGTATATTTCTGAGGTACATTTTTAATCCACCTCCTGATATAGTATAATATAGCTTTAAAATGCTAGCACATACATTGTCACAAGTATTTCTAAATCCAAAAAACGTAATAAATTTCGAAAAACATACAAATACATATTACTATTTATGCTTGTTTTGTTCAAGATATATACATATAGAAAACTGAAAATAGAAATTAAAAATATGTGCATCACAAGAGTTGTATTATTTAAATGCAAAATCCCTGGTCATGGATTCTTTGCTTGTTCTCACCAACTTCTATATCAGTATTTCCCAGAACAATTCCCAGGCTACACTTTCAAATTATCACTTCATATCCAGCGCCTTCTATCCCAAGCTAACAAAATCACTGCTATAAAACTTCTCCTTTTACAGCCAAGATGGGAAACACTCTATTAGATTGTCTGCTCCCTCCCTTGTAAAATAAAGAGGAAAACGCCATTCCAGGAAACAAAAATGTTAAAAAAAGACCAAGCAAAGGCAACGCCTGCACGCACTGTTGTTCTTCCCCTTTGAGACAGTAGCAAAGAGGAAGGAAGGAAAAAACCCAGTTAAAATAAAGACAAGGAGGTGTGGATGCAACATGTTTATCCCACTGGAAGAGGGGCAGCTGTAGAGCGCCATCCCTTGCACAGGGACACCCCAACACCGCCTGGGTGTTTACAAACACTTCGAGCAAACCAAACAGGGAGTTTCATTGTCCCCACTGCACTCATGTCAGCCTCTCCCCAGCACTGCAATTCCAGGGAGAGCCCTGCCAGAGGACACACAGTGCCAGTTACACAAGAGAAGCGCAGAAGCAAATATGCAGCAGAGGGGAGGAAAAAAATTAAAAATATCAGCTCAGCTGCACACTCTCCTGCTGCTCTCAGAAGAGCCTCCGAGTGGGGCTTTGGTGAAAGATCAACTTTCAAAGGCACTGAAAGAGACTGACAGACTTGTAGGGAGCAGGACCCCTCTGCGTGCACACATTTCATTGCACCAGCACAAAATGAGGTGTCTGGGGTACACTAGCAATTGCAGAAGCAATTTAGTTATAGAAGGGGATAAAACCTTCTGATGTCACATAATAACAAACAAACAAACAAAAAAAAAATCTTACATTGTACTAACATCTTGGCACTACTCAAGTAAGGATCCAAATTGCATCTCACAAACAGCAAGGAACAGGGAAACAAATAAGCCACACTAAAATGAAACTCTGCTGAAGTTTTCACAAAGTTTAAAATAGAGGCACTACTTGTATTTACGACAAAACTGAAAAAGATCAGAAGAGTAGTATGGAAGTTGAAATAAAACATCAGACTGTCCAGCCGAGAATTTTTAAGATACTAACTCATTATGGGACTTGGAAAAGAAACCCGGACCAGCTGCACAAAGCCAGGACCGAAAGCCAGCTGGATTCAAATCCCCCGTTTCCCTGAAAGAGGGGAGGAATAGCGGTGTCAAAGCCAGGAAGCCGCACGACAGCACACGAACGCCGCCAAAACCACCCTAGAGCACACCTCGGATTTACCCTGTCCTCAGGAGCCCGGCTCTCAGGCTCCGCAGCGCTTAACGACACCGATTCCAAATCCATCTGATTCTCCACTCTTACCCAGCGAGGGAGACGGACGGGCCAGGGCTCCCCGCGGGCAGGGACCGCGCAGCGCCCGGAGCATCCCGGAGTTGCGGGACTTTCCCGGGGGCTGCGGGACGCGCAGCCCGGGCCCCAAGAGCAGCGACAGGGCTCGTCTCCGCGGGATAACACCGTGTAGCGGGTTTTTTTCCCCCCTTCCCCGTCCCTCCGCCCCTCCTTTTTCAGCAGGACCAGGGAACGACGGCGCGGTCCCGCCCGGCAGCGCGGCTCCCGCTGAGGAGCCCACGGCGCGGGGAAGGGCATCGGGAGACGGGGGCCTGGGAGGGAGGACGTAACAGGACAAGGAAAAGCACGCAAAAAGAGAAGAGCAGCGCACTCACCTGGTTTGGGATTTGTCCTCCCTCTCCACGACCATAAAACGAGGCGGGAGCCAGGAGCCGGCCGGCGGCGCTGGGAAGGAGCGGCAGCCCCGGGCCGCCGCCGCACGCCGGGCACAGCGGGGCTGGGCGCTGCAGCCCCCGCACGCCGGCCGAGCTGCGCGTCCCGGAGACGAGCGGGAGGCAGCCCACTAACACTGGGATGGGTGCTGGCCACCCTCCCGGCGCAGGGCAGCTCCCCGGGATGGGTGCAGCGGGCTGGGCGCAAGAGGCAGTCCCACTCGGGGATGCGTGTTCGGTCCCCACCGCCCGTGCAGCGCAGCGCAGCCCTCCGGAACGCTGCCGAGCTACCCTGGGGCCAGGACGCCCGGGACAGGAGCTGCAGGGCTGGGCGCAGGGCAGCGGTGTGCGGGATGCGAGCGGGGCCGCCCGCCACAGGCAGCGCAGCAGCAGCGGGAGCGCGGCCCCCCCGCCGGCCCCGGACGCGGCACCGGCCGAGCACAATGAGCGGCAGCGCGCGGCGCGCCCCCGCGGCCCCCGCTGGGCAATGACATCACCCCTCTCGCCCGCCGGGGCGGGGCTACTGACCGCGCCGCCGCCTCGCCATTGGCTGGGCCCCCTCGGCACCGGGGACTTCTGGGGTTTGTAGTTTTTTACGGCAGTCACAGCGCAGCAGTGTGCAGGGAGTGGACTCCCTTTCCCGGCAGATCCCACCCCGCGCGGCCGCGTTGGGGAGCGGGCTAGGAAAGGAGGCGGTGGCCGCCGCCATGTTGATGGCGTGGGACGCTTAGCTCTGGAGGAGCGGTCGGGGAGCCGGGTTAAGATGTCGGAAAAAGGGGAAGGGTGGGAGTCCTGTCTTGGTTTAAGAGGCGAGGAAGAGCTCGTGCGAGCGGCTGACAAAGAAGGGGGAGGCTGAGGGATAGCCGGCGGGGTGGGGAGGGGTGCCCTGAAGGACACGGCCGATTGTCACTCGGTGACTGCGGGCTCTGGCTGAGGCGGCGCCTCTCTGTGCTGGCAGCGGGGCCGTGGGGCCGGAGTCTGTCCTGGGGCTCGGAGGGGCTGCGGTGGGTGCGTGGCAGGAGCGGCGGCGTGGCGGTGGGTGCGTGGCGGTCACGGCTGCCGGGGCGGTGCGGGCGCGGACGGGGAGGCCGCGCTGTGGCGCAGGAGCCGCGGCGGGCATGGTGCCCCCCGCCGTACGGGGAGAGGGCCCGGGCGGGGCTGTGCCGGCACGGTGCTTGGCCTTGGACCGAGCGCGGACTGCGGGTTGAAGAGCAGGGCTGGCCTTGGTGGGGCGGCTGTCCGCAGGGAGTGGTTTAGAACGTGCCCTTGTCGCACAGCAGGTGACAGCCTGCGCTTCCCTGGTTTGAGGGGGTTTGTTAAGGGTTCTGGCTCTGCCCGATGCCTGATAATTGCACTAATGGTGTCTGGTTGTCAGAGACGTACGGCTTGGTGTGACCAGCAGGAGGAGCTTTGCTTCCTTTTAAAGTCCTTAGTATGTCTGGAAGTGGGTAGATTGAGATTAGATATGCGGAAAAATTCTTTACTGTGAGGGTGGGGAGGCACCATCACAGGGTGCCCGGAGAAGCTGTGATACCCTGTCCCTGGAAGTGCTCAAGGCCAGGCTGGATGGGGCACTGGACAGCCTGATCTACTGGAAGGTGTCCCTGCCCATGGCAGGAGAGGGTTGCAACCAGATCGTCTTTGAGGTCACTTCCAACCCAAATGTATAATTCAATATCCATAGAACATAAATCAAGTTTAAAAAAGCTGAGAGGGCCGATGAGGTGGTGTAAGACATCTCAGCATGTTATGGGAGCAGCAAAGCTGACTTGCTTGTCCATTGTTTGCCTGCGCTTGCTGTTTCACATTGGCATGGCTTAGCCAGCTGACTAGGTGCTGTCTTAGTTTCAGCCCTCTGGCTGGCATGCAGGAGGTAGGCTGGAATTTTGAGCAGTGCTTTTAGACTTTCTTGTAGTGAACATTGTTCCTGCTTGTGCTACTCTTTTGTGCTGGGGAATGGGAAACACATGTTCACCAAATGAGAGAGTAATCAAAGCTCTGTGAGCCTTAAGGGGACTGGAGTTCCCTGAAACCCCGTGTAGAATATCTGTGCTCAAAACTGGAAGGGAAGATGGTCAAAGTGTTGCATGGCTTGTGAAATAATACCATTTCTAGTTACAGCTGATTCCTGTGAAATAAAGCACTTCATTATGCCAAGAGGATACTTAATTGGAAAGAGTCCTGAAGAGTTTTGCAGGCTTGCTTGAAGTCTTGGCTAAAGTCCAGTAATGCTGCAGCTCAGGTAAAATGAAGTCACAAGGATTTATTTCATCCTTTGGCTCCTCCTGGAGGTAAGTACAAGGCATTTGCTCAGGGTATTGCTGCCCAGTAACTACACAGGTGGTGTGTTTGCCACAGGGTACACGAGTGCTGGAGGAAAGACGTTGTGAGATGTTCTGTGGTGCAGATACTTCACCTGAACATTGCAGCCTTTCAAGATTTGCTGGTACTACAGCAATGTATGCTATGCTTTTATCGCTTCAGGTGCAGCTCCCTCTAGTTCAGGAAGCTGAACCAGTTGCATGCCATCGTGCAGAAAGTCCAGTGTTCCAAGAGTGCTTCTCCTCACAGGCAGGTTCTCCAGTTTTATCATACTCCTCACTGAACAAAAGGAGTGGTGGGAGTGTAATGCTCTTTTAATAAAATTCATAGCATCAATAGTTCCATATATCTGGAGAATTCTGAATTACAAGTACAGCCCTTTTTATTTCTTTCCTTATTCTGTTTCTCCTCTATGCAGATACCTTTCGATTAGGTGAGCTGTTGGTGAAATAAAGGGCACTGGCACTTTGATGACTTCTGTCACAGCTGTTGTTCACTGTAGACTTTAGGCCTGTGATTTTATCTCTGCATAAAGATACCTGGTAAGGATAGTAAATATTGAGTGGAATGGTTGGGTCAAGTTTGGTTATCTTTTCTATAAAATGTCAGAAAAAGTGCATGTGAAATCCTCATCCAGGATGGTCTGCTGGCTGAATTACAGGATGTTTTGTTAAACTGGTTTAGAAACAATTGGTTTTACCTGCAGTGGTTCCCTTCACTCCCTCAGCATCCCCCTGCAGTCAGTGCTGCTGCTCTGAGGAGGATGCTGTGCACCCCACTTTACAGATAATTGTATTTTGTTATTTATATCTTATTTCTTTATCTGTAGATATAGGTGCCACTGATGTCTCAGCTAAGGTAGGAAAAAGGAAACGACTTCAGAAACTACCCAAATGAACAGCTGATGCAAGAGAGAAGTAAAACAAGTTTTCTCTGTGTGTGTTTTTCACTTTGGTCTGTTTTGGAGGATTTGATACTTGCCAGTGCATGGATATTACTTGTTGGTCACAGCTTGTCAGAGATGTTAATGATGAAACCTGTGTTACATGTCTCAGACTTGGATAATCTGTTCACCTGAAAGTGCCAATGTCCAAATCTATCCTGACCCAGCAGGCCTCAATTGCAATGTCTGTAAGAAGCTTGCAGTCCTGTTGCAGAAGTAGGTGCTGTGGCTGCATCCCTTAGGAGAAGATAGAAGGTGACAGCAGAACCGAAAACCCGCCTGTGGCATTTCCTAAACATCAGTATGCTCTGCTTTAATGCTGTTAATGAGCACCTGCTGCAGTGTCTGTGTGCTCCTCAGCCTGTGCAGCCTAGAGGTTTGTGTGTGCTTTACTGTGCTGTCATCCTGCACTGCAGTACCTATGGGTTGTTACTGAAGTGATTGTGGGCACTGTGAACTCTGGTAAGCAACCGCCCTGTTTCCTGACCTGGAAAATCAGTTGGGAGATCCTGAAGGAGAGATGAGGAAGTTAAGTAGGAATGTGTGATGACTTTGCTTAAAGAAGAAAATGCTCAATCTAAGTCTAATCCAAGTTCATACATAGAAACCTGTCTTCATGTCTCAGTGCTCATTCTGACAAGCGTGCTCTGAAAGAAACCAAGCATTTGGATACTTAAATTGGGTATTCACTGGGTAGTATACAAAGCCAGGCTGCATAAGAAACACAGATTTCAAGATGAAGTGTACTAATACATCATGTCATAATTTTTGGGGTGTGTGGTGGTCTAGGTCTACTGTCACTGTCACATCCATGTTAGTACAGCACAGAGAACTGTTGGGGTTCTTGGGAATGATGGTCAGGCATAATGTCATTCCTGGTATACAAATTAACTGGACAAAAAGGTTTACATGTGCACTGAAACAAAGTGGAATATGGTTTCTAAAAGTGATACCATCTATGCTCATCTTGGCACATAAATTTTGTTTTAAGATCCTCTTTTCTTAATTATCCTGGCTGTAAGTCCCTTTGGGGGAAGGAGTGGAAGTGTTACTGACCAGCTACTTATTTCAAAGCCTGTAGGGGAAGAGTGTAAAGTCTTTCAAATTAAAGTTACTGCTCAGATGATAGTGGATGAAGAAGCTGTGATGAAGGTTGGTTTATTTTAATTGTTTCCTATGGAGCTGTTTGCCAAAAAGTTTCTGGAGGTGCAAGGGGAAAGGTGAGAGGATGAGTTCAGCTGGGAAGAACAGGTAAGTACTTCTATATCATGTTACTGTTTCCAGGTATCTTAATGATAATGCCAAGAATACATTGTGAGCTTGGAAAATAGAAAAAGAGTGGAAGGCTTCTGTGCCTTTTTAAAGTGTTCTACAGGAAATTGTGGGGAGGCAACTGTTAAACCAATATCTGGAAGAACCTAGTGTTTGTGCATAGCCAAACGAGTGTAAAGCAACTCTGGAAATTATTCTAATGACTAATTATAAAGTGTTTTCCTTTTTTTTTTTTTTTCTTTCAGCACAAAGAAGAGTGCTCTAAGAGCAGTCAAGAGCCAAAATAGGATGGACATGTTCTTCAGCTGAAACATGGCAGCAGTTCAATAGCAGTTACACAATAGGAAAGGGTGTGCAGGCTGCTGCACGTCCCTGTGTTCTTTAGATCTGGTGGTATATGAAAGAACTCAGTAGAGGGAAAAAGGTGGTTGCTTACACACCTTCAAACTCACTCAGTTCACTCAAGCAAATGCATTTGAAAAGAGAGCTCATCTAATACTGAAACAGGAAATTGATTTTATTTTAGATACTGGGAAAGATAATCACAATATGCAGAATTTAAAAGTGCTAGTCAGGACACTGGAAAACTGCAAGTAGCTGAAGGACAGGAGGCTCCAAGACTCCAGCTGGGGGAAGCTCCCTTTTGGAAGGCACACTAGCAGTGGGGAAAACTTGCTAAACACAAGGAGGCCCAAAAGTTCTGCAGCCTTTAGCTACACATGGATTTGTCTCTTGAGGTGGGATGGCCTGACATGACCACTAAAGACCATAAGGCTGTAGGCAGACTGCATTTCTCTTAAAAGCACATATGCCACTACCCAGTTCAGAACCACCCAAAGAGCTTCAGTTTATGTCAAATACTGTTAGTTCCTGGAACAATAGCTTTTCTTGGCCCCCTAACTCCTGCAGAGCCTGCTGGCTGATTGTAGCTGTGCACTGAAGATAAGCCTTCTTCACCCCTGGATTGCTGGATAATGGCACACAAACATGGCTCAGATGGACTCAGGGCTGAGCATGAATCCTTTGGCTGCCACTGTTTTGCCTTTAATATGTACAATGGATGCCCTGAGCACTTCCATGTGGAACAAGAAACATTGGAGTGCAGGTTTAGATGTACTTTCTGTAAGCACTGCCCTCTTCAGCACAAAGCTTGATAAAATCCTGTGTTGCATAAAGCAGGTAGAGGTATCCCAGAGGTTATGGTTGGTGTGGACCTGACTCAGTTGCCACTAGGAAGGTCTATTTTTGTTGTGGTGTGGTAAACCTGAGTTGGTAACTGATACTGTTTAGCTGATGGGCTTGTCTGTGCCAGGAGAGCAGTCCCTGAGCTGACAAACATTCAAGCATGGTACTAGCTTTTACATCTTTCAACATAAAAATAAAATGGAAACTTTAAAAGGTGGGAGGGGAAAAAGCAGAGGATTTTTAAGGGCCAGATAAATTCTACTGAAATGAAAAGCTCACTAAGAATATCTTCATTCAAAGAATGTATTTTGGGAAATTACCTCCTGTGTCAAGGGCAATATGAGCCTTTGGTTATGGCAGGTGTCCAGCACTGTTCCTTGGCCCTTTTGTGAGGTTATAGGGGAAGAGTGTCGGATGAAGGAAAAGTGAAAGCCATAACCAGAGGTTAACATTTAGTTTTAGCAACTATGTTTATGTGAAGTGATGCACCATTATTAATTTTCAAAGCAAGTCCCGCACCTAAATTGATGGAATCCCTGATCATGTGTGCAAGTGTCTTTGGGTTCTTCAGTTGTGTGAGTGCAATGGTGCAACATTACATGTTGCATTCCTGTATGATTCAGCTTAAAATACAAGCTTGGGCAGTGAGTACCTAAACAACAGTATTGTAGTCAGAGCAATGACTACAGTATTGTAGTCATTCCTCATGCACAGAAACATTTCCTTTTGGGTAAGTAATGCTGCACTGTGAAAAAGCATGCAGCTCTTAGGACAGCACCATTTGATTGAGTTCCCTGTGCTACAATTCCCTGGATTTGCTCTCTTCCTTGCCCTGGACTCTACCCAAACTTCTAGTATTTCTGTATGTTACCACTGGTTTACTCTTCCATTTTTGGGTGGGGTTTTTTTGCTGTTTATTTGCAAATGCCTCTTCCTGGAAAACTGGCAGCAACAGTAAGTATCTCAGGTTCCTGGCCAAGTTTCCACTCACATGGTTTCACTTGCTCCATTCTGTCAAGTTATTTACATGTGGTGTCCTAAGGATGTAATTTAGTGGATTGCTAGTGAGGAGCTAACCTACATGTTTTGGCTGCAGTCCACATAAGTTACACAAACCTGCTTCCTCATGAATTCAGTGGCTACTCTGGAAGCCCTTGGTTTCCTGATGCACAACTTTATGAAAAAGATAATGTTACACTGCTCTTGCAGAGATTTAAAGTTGGTCATATTGGCGTTGCTCGCTTTACCTGCTGAGTTGCAGGACCCAGAATGATTTCTGAATCTTGTTCTGCATGCACAGCACCTAGGGCTCACAAGGTGAGAAGGATACATTCTTCAGGTCTGATGTGCCACAATACAGGAGAGATGGCTTAGAGATGTGTAGTTGATCACTTAAGCAACCTTGCTCTAGGTAACCCTTAATCTTCATGTTCTGGTTTCATGTGTATCAGCATTGTTTTGTTTCTAGTAGAGCATCTTTGGGCATGCATTCCCAGGTAGTGTAATTACTTGAATTACCTGCTTTTGAGCTCTTGAAAAATGCAGTTGCATGAAGCAGAGGCAGCAGTGACATTGGTAGTTTGAGGAATTTGGTGTTACCTTCTGCCCTTGCCTTCCCATGGTGCAGTACACCATTCCCTTTCATGCCAGTGCAACTACCTGGAGCAGCTTACGGAGCTATCAGTGTCTTAATCAGGGTGGTAACGCACGCTCCCTGCCCTGAGTATGCTTTTCTGTGGGTCACTGCTGATGTCTGGAGGAAGAGGTTTGTAGTTCTATGGCTTTCTAGAACTTGAATTAGGTTTGTGAACTGGTTTAGAGTGTTTTCACCATGGCACAAAAAACAGGTGATTGGATGCATGCCAGAAGTCCAAACTTGTTGTCTTGTTGCTGAAGTCTCTGACTCATGAAATTATGCATCTAAGGATGCTGTTAATTTTGTGGGGAAGGAGCAGCAATGTCCCTTCTGCACATGGCTGCTTTTTTAACCCATGTTTTTCTGTGTTAGGTCTCATGGCACAGCCTTCTTGTGGTTTTGCTGTGTATAGCATTCTGACCAGGCAGATCAAGTGTTCCTGATGTCTGTAAGCAGCACTAGATATTGTTCAACATACTCCAGACAAATTCTTGTACAAACAGAGCTGGAGTAAGATATGGAACACTCTTCTCCTGAGTTTGGGGTTTTTTAAGTTACTGAGACAACCAATGTATTTTCCTTTGATTGAACTAATTCTTAAATATAGGGATTTGTATATTACCCCTGCACATGTAGCCAAATACAATTATATATTCAATGGCAAAGTAGATCAGCAAAAGAGAATTGCGTACTAAACTGTTTCACATATGATAGATAAAAAGCTAATCCCTATTGTCATTTTTGCAATGCTCCTGCTTCCAGTGAAGGCTGCTCTGCTGTGACCTCTTGCTATGCAATTACGATTTCCTTTCCCTGTTCTGATAATGGTGAATGTTGCCCTCTGATGACGACAATGAGGTGACAGCTGTTTCAGAGAGACCTACAGTGGCTTCACTGTACATGCTCTGCCTCAGTGGATGTCAGCTAAGAGTAATTGCATCCCCCAAGAGTTAGACTTGCTGCTGTTGACCTTTCTGGAGAAACAAACATGAAGTAGAGGCACGTGCAATCCTCACATGAGCTGGCAGCCAGGTGGGTGCTGTGTGTCACCAGGGATGACAGGCAGTCACACTTTACTAATAGCAGTGAGGTGCATTTGGCCTCTTGAAAATTCTTGCCCACTGAAAGCTCTCATCTCCAGGGTAGATTGTGACTGGGGGAACTGCTGTCCCATGCTACCTCCTGGAAACAAGGGGGTGATGAAATGGAGTTTATTTTAGTAGGTTCAAAGAGAATAAATTAATGTTATTCATTATAAATATTCACACAATAATTCATAAGTATTTTTATAGTGTAAATTGTTCCTAAGTACATATCTGGAAATCTAGGCATATATGTATATAAAATGTATGTATTTAAATACATTTGTATACATTGTTTTATAATTCATAATCTAACACTTAGTAAAATACAAATTAGTAAATTGTATTTACTAATTTGTATTAATTTATTCTTTTTACAAATAGTAAAAAGAATCGTGGGAAAGGAGAGGAGCTTTGTGTTGACAAACTCCTGGGATGGAGAAACTATTCCTTGAGAACAAATAGAACACACATGTCTGGTCCACAGCATGAATGGTCCACAGTTGGCATGGATTGTTTTGTTAAAACTGCTCATGACTGTCTTTTAAACTCATAACCTTGGGAGGGTGGATTAACTTTGTCATAAGCACTGAGGCATGTGACATGCTTAGCCATGAAAGCAAGGATGTGAGGGGTCTCACAAGTTTCTGTCAACACTTCAGTGATGATGTGGCTCCCTGGGATGGGTGGCATTGCTGCCATTCATTCTGTGTGACACTGCAGCCTCATCCACATGGGTTTGATGGTACCTCAAATATCCCAGCCTTTTGCTATACTCGGTTCTCTGTTACCTGAAGTTAAATTTAGGTGCAGATCACATCAGCCAAGATCTTGCTTTTGGAATATGTCTGTCTCACTCACTGGTATGAGTGACTCTGCTTCTTGGGTAGTATTGATTTACCATCTTATTTCTCCCAAAGGAAACATGCGCTCTGAACTTTCCTTGTGCTCTGGCAGTGCTTTATGTGTGCAACCTCCAGGTAATGTTCACCTCCATGGATGTAAGGGAACAGCTATCCCAGTCTTTCCTAAATTTACTGCTCAGCAGTCAGTGACATTGTGGGAAAAACAAAGCATTATTTTGCTCATGTCCACCATCCACAAATGGCATTTGGTTTTCATCACCATTTTGTTTCTAGCTAACATGTCTGCTAACACACAGGTTTTCAAACTCCCTTTTTTTTTTCTTTTTCTACTATTTCCTTGTCACCCATAAGTAATACATTGCACTCAGTGTTTAGTGTGTGAGAAACCCTAGGATGATTCCCTGTAGTAGTAAATTTTAGCTGTGGGGAGATGGTGATTCTGGTGGCTGCAGAATTCCACCTATAGCATCCCATCATTATAAAGAAAAAAGTAAGTTTGGAGGAAAGAGCCCTCTTTGAATCTGGGTAGGGAAAGAGATGTATTAACACTTAAAAAGTAGACAAAAATTGTTCTTCATGTGCCAAGTTTCATATATTTAACCTTTGCATTTTAAAATTTTAAAGTTGTGCATTCTGTTTCCTAAACTGATGACACTTGAGGAAAGCCAGTCGCTTCAAATACCTCCAACACAGAAGTGGTGTTTTGCAGATGCCCAGGGAAGATGCAGATGCACAGTATTGCTGAGAAGCAGCCTGTCACAGCTAAAATACAGTAGTGCAAAAACCTGTCAGCAGGCTGTGCAAACCCAGCCCTTCATATACGTTATGTCTACAGTGTTCTGTGTGAAAGCTATTATCCCTTGGAAAACTTGCTGACACGTTTTAACAAGGAGAATCAAAGACTTAGAAGTACCTCTGCAGGGTTCCCCTAATTTGTACTGCATTCATTATCATAGTCAACTACTGCCCTCTCTTTAGTAAAGATTATATTGGAAGCCATCCATAGATAAATAACTTCTTGATACAGTTTTAACTATTCATCCATTTGCATATGGCCTGGTTTTGACATCAGCAGGTATGTTCACATTTCTGAGTCCAAAATGCAAGGTTGCTTTATGTTATTTCTTTAGAAACAGTAGAAGTCATAAAAGAAGGCCTAATTTTCAAAACATAAATATTACATTTGTATTTTATTTAAAATAAAATCACGCAGATGGAGGTGCAAGTCAGTACAGGGTTTGTTCAGGCAGGGTTTGTGGTTTCCTAGCCCACCTGTTCTGCCTGCAGAGCAGCAGAGAGAGCACAGTTTGTGCAATCATAAATCCTGTTCATACCTTCTCTCCTGGCAGACTCCTAGGGACAGGGCTGTAAGGTGAAACCTGGGCTGGATGCAACTGCAAGGGGAGGAAGGGAATAGCAGCTTCCCTTTGCAGGACCCCAGGGCACCCTGAAACGCAAAAGGACACGGAGAGGGGCCTACCTCGCTCCCTCCCAGCTGCCCTCGTCACACTGCTCAAGTCTCTGGGGTAGCTGAACGCCACGTGGTGCTGCAAAATGCACGTCAGGGGCGTTGATCTCTGCTGGCTCTGGAACTGGAGAGGCTGCTGTAGCTGCCTGAGCTGCTGGCCCCCTGTACCGGTGGGTGTTCACCAGCAGAGGGTGGCTCTAAGACCGTTCATGTATTCCTGTAATGTTTAAACACACTACAGCGTGAAAACCGTGATGGCCTCAGTGCTTCCTTTAGTGCCTAATACTTAATCTTTAGTTAGTAATTACAAGAAAGAAGTATCTGGCAAAGGTTTTTGTTTCAGCTTCCCCTCGCTGATTTGTTTTTGTTTTTTTTCTCCTCTGACATTATTCTTCCAGGTAAGAATAACCAAATATAGTTAAGGATCAAGGGATTTGAAATAAATAATTGCATAAGTTGTCAGTGCTCTAGCATTTATTAGGGATTGAAACATAAGACACTAATATTGAATGGAAGTAATTTTGCTGAACTTCAGACACCTAACAGATGTCCAGTGTGTGCTTGGGCTTTCCTTGCACTCTGTGGAGAGCACTGCACACATCCCAAGATTGATTTCAGCTCCTCTTACCCTAATTCAAGATCTCAGTCTAGAGAACACAAGCTAACAGGAGCCTGAGCCCAAACAGCACTTGTGTGTGTATAATTATTCTCACATGGAACCCCACTATGTGCGACAGTTAATGACTACATGGTTAATTATGTGAGTAGTTTATGTAGGAATGGGTTCAATTCTTGTGTCTGTGTTGCAGGGAGACTAATTTGTGTCTTGAGATGTTTGTTCATTGACCATAGAGGAAGCAGAGGTCAGACTAGCTCAAAGTGAGCTATCTGACCTCCACATCTAGCTGAGATACAGCTCAGCCGCTGTGCCTGCAGGCTGCTGCTGCTGCTAACGGTGGGTCATACTCTGCTTCATCTTTGAAGGCCTGCACACACTTGGTAGGTTTTATAGACCTGATTTCACATCTAAGGGAATAAAGTGTAACAGTTCATGTAATTAGTAGACAGTCATTAACTTCTCTGAAATCAGTGGAATTCCACATGGGACCATGTGTGAGTGAATATGTAGTTCAGGCTGTTGCTGACTGGAGACCTGTTGAGAAGCTCTACAAAATAAAAGGTAGTAGTAAATGATGATGGAAAATTTTTCATGTTCTAATATATAGTGATTTATATTCTGAATTAGATACTCTGTTCAGAATTATCCTACATATATTTAAGTAGTTTTAAAAGGTTTGAACTAAAATTCAGACATTCTTGTTCTTGATTTCAGTTTATTTACTGCTCAGAAATTATTTTCAAAATGGAATTCCTATCTAAAGTTCTTCAATTAAAAAACCCAAACACCTGAGTACCAGCAGTTTTGAACTATTGCAGAAGTATAGCATAGATGCAGCCTCAGTATTTACCAGAGTAGATAAAATTCCTCTCTGTTTGCAGAAATAGAGCAACTTAGGGACCAACTCAAGCAAAAAATTGAAGAGGCATCTTTACAAAGTCTACAAACAGCAGATGACCTCTGGCTTTCTCTTCCACAGAAGACAGGCAATACCAAATGTGAAGAGGATTCACTTCCTCCTTCCTGCCTGATCGGCAGGTATCAAGCCTTTTGAGCCTGTTTCCAAAACCATATCCATAATGCAAGAAGTGTTTGATGTATGTAAAAATAGAGACATGCCACAACAATGATTAAGGGATTAGAGGAAAAGGATCAGGAGGACAAGAGAAGATTATTGCAGACACAAGGGTGTATCAATGACACCAGCATACACTGTGGTTCTTCTGGAAGTTTCCAGTCCACACCAGACTAATCAGAGCTTTCTGCAGGATGTAAGCATGCCCAGCACTTGTACTCTGCTTGAGGTTAAGATGGAAAATCCTGTGTGTGATTCCCTCCTCTTAATGACCTGTTTGTATACAGATGGGCTTTCCAGTTATGGAAATGACCCATGACTTATGAAATAGCCTCTTCCTGTTTGCAATGATGCAGTGAAGTATTGAGTCATCTCTAACCCTTGAGCCTTCCCTGTACAAGCTCTTTGTTGTTTGCAACGTGTCCCCTGGGATTTGGATTGATGATACTGGACAATTGTTTTCACTTGAACTGGTCCCAGTTTTACCAGTTTTGGATTAATTACTGCTCTTTCCTAGAGGAAAAGGTTTGATCCACATCACTGCTGATTTGAATTATAATAACTTACTGAAAAAATACCTGTGTATAGTTTGGTTTAAATTAATGAATTCTTGATTTGGGGGAGTAATTACTTGTAGTTACTAATTGTATGTACCTAATTCTCCTCCCACAGCATAATGAGTCCAGGGGTCCACAAAGTTCTGGATTCAGATGGAAAGTACATATTGTAATGCTCCACAAGATTATATTTCACTGCCTTTTGGAGAGAGGCCCTAATGCCAGTGAAATCTCAGAAATACGACATCTGACCCTTCAAGGGATGAAATAGATTAGGGGCCTGACAACATGACAAAAAATCTTTTGTGAGGTATTTTGTTGAGTATTTTTATCCTTTCTCTACAGAATATAGCAAAGGCTTAGGTATAGCAGGTTGGATGGCCCTAACTTAGAGCGGTTAAGTTTAGTTTAACTTTGACATAACGTCTTGGCTGAAGAGCTGCATTTCCAGTGACTGTGCAGACTGCTGGGTGTGCTGCCAAATAGCTGGAGATTGCAGAGTGATGTTGTTGTTAATTTGTTTCTGCCAGAGAGACATTCCTCTTCATCTCTGGGACAGTGTCATAAGTCACTGTCTTGGTTTGAAAAGACAGGTGTCTGCTAAGGAAGGCAGGAGCCTCCCTTGAAATGGAAAATGTAAACCCCCTCTCTCTGGATTATTATAATTTTGAAATTAAGGGGCTCTCAGGGAAGATATGGGAATAGGAATAACAGTTCTTTACTAGGAAAATTAAAATAAAAATGCAGTAGTACAAAACAACACGGATAGAGTCAGAGTACAGCCTGACACCCTGTGGGTCAGGGTGTTGGCAGCAGTCTGATTGAGTGGTGGCTGCAGTCCTCCTGGGGTGACAAATGTGGTTCTGTTGAAGCAGTGATCCTGCAGAAGGGCACAGTTCTCCTCTGAAGGTCCAGAAGTAGTGCAGACAGGTCTGGTCTTCCTCTGGGAATCCAGTGGGAAAAGGTTAAGCCGCCTGGTTTTAACAGCTGGCCCATTAACAGAAAATAACTGCCCCAGCTGCTGTAAACAGCTGGTAACAGAATAAATACTTGCAGTTACATCTCGCATTGCAACCTAACACAGTCACTTATTGATCCTGCCCATCCCTGGACCTGGTGGGAACTCAAGCATAATGTATGTGCCAGTTAAAAGCCACTGTGCCTTCCTAGAAGCAGCTAATTTTAGCTGTTGTCCTACAAAGAAGGAGGAAAGAAGGTGGAACAAACCAAGTTACATTGGTGGGGTAAAAGAGCCAGCAGTTTTCCAGGTTTGAAATGCAATGCCATTAGACATTGGCAACTGAGTTGCTTCATCAAGGCACAGAATTTTGCAAAGCCTTTGACAAATTAAATGCAGATGCAACATAAGGCATTTTCTTGTGGAACATTTTAATGGCTATTCTTGGTTTTCCCAGTGGGATCTTACTTTCTTATAGCAGAAATTTGTCACCAGTTAATTGATTTGTGTGAACTCTGCCAAAATCAACAAGGAAGGAATTGACACGACAGACTCTGGAAACAGGGAAGTTGTGACATGTTTGAAGAGAATGCATACTCAGATGTGGGTCTGCTGCTCTTTCAAAAAGCAGTTTCCTATCAGCAAAACAAGCTCCACTCTTTCCTGCTTGTATCTTGTCCCTGCCTTGCAGCAGTGCTACAGGGGTGCTTCATCTTGTGGGAAGCCAAAGGAAAGAGATTTACTAAAGAACAACCTTGCACATGCTATTGCAACTCCAGCCATTCTATTGAGTTGAGCTAAGGCAAGCATTAAAGCAAACTGTAACTCTAAGGATTAGAAGTCTTCACAGTAATTACAGGGTCTGTTTTTCTACTGACATGCTGCAGCTTCCATGACAAATGAAAGAAGTACATATTGGTATAACAGTACAGAAAAATATCGCTCTGCTGCCTGGTCATGGGTGATGTGGGGCAGGCATGTCAATTCCTGAGAGAAAACAACAGTGCAAAATTTAGGTGGTTGCAAACTGCCATTTTTTAATACTGAAAGATCAAACTCCAAGCACCGGAAAATGTGAGGCAGTGCCCAGAGCAGTTCTATCTTTCAGAAATGTAAGTAAACACAAGTAGCCAGGAGTTCAAGAACTAACTTAAACCAGAAATTATGCTACTTCTCTCTCCATTCTTCTCACCGTTCCCTGAAACACTACAACCAAAACCAACAGCATACCATGTCATCCCAAGCCTCAGTATTTATTCACACATGAAGAACATGCAAAGCTTTTTAAAATCCCCTGACAACTTGTACAAGAAAACTATTTAGCTATGAGTGGAATGTCCTCTTACAAAATGCCAAACAGCCTTGTGCTTTTTAGGCCAAAAGCTAACATGTTGAACTGTGAGCTCTTATTACTTGTTCTGTTCCTCCACAGTAGGAATCTGGAGTGCTTTAAAAATGCTGAGAGCATGACAGTGATTGACAAGAAAAGAAGGAATGTAAGGACATACTGTACTTTTAAAAATTTTGATTATTTTTGTAAAACAAAATTTATAGTGATGGAGGTCCTACATTTGCAATTTGAATCAGAAGTCAGGGCTGTTTTCTTAGCCATGCCCCTTACACACTGCCTTGCACCCTTATGTAGGAACACCAAATTTGGTAAAATCCCAGAGTAACTTTAAGGAGAGAGATCCTAAGAAATTTAACAGCTGCTTGAACCATTCATGTTTTAACTTTTTCTCAGTGAAACCATGTCTTAATTTTAGTGTGTGCAGTGCATGTGTGAAGCTCTTTCCATCATTTTTACTGGATGTGTGCAGTGATGGATCTCAAGCATATAGGTTTGGTTCCAGTTCAGTGAGGGCACATGACCATGTCATTGAATTAAGTATGTCTGGTATGGAGTTGATACTAGTTTTTAACAGCTGGTAGCTGATATCTAATCTGACATGAAGTGGCACAGAGAGAGCAGTAGTTTTAATCACATTAAATGTGTCAGTAAGAAATCAGCAAAATTTTAGAGCAATTTTAACTGACAGTGTGAGTGAAAGCTGGATCTGCACCTTGGGTAGCAGGTTATGGTATATCTCGTCCGATGCTAAGAGCCCTAATGTTGGATTTATTGTGTCATTAAGCCATGGCCAGAGAGGAGGAGGCTCAACTGTGTCTCTTACAGTTGCTGAACCGTGTCTCTTACAGTTTCTGAAAAAGGAAAACACTGCCACTGGTGTGTTCTTCTCAGTGAAAAAGCCAGTGCTATGGGAAAACTGCTGTTGGAGATGATTCAACCATCATCTGTCTGCATGTTAAATCTTCAAATACTCTGTAACCGCATAGAGATGGCAAAAACAATGTGAAAGTGCTAACATGCAAAAGCAGGGAGATTGAAGGACGTGTTGCAAGCATTTGTATAACTACACTTCTTGAACTGAACTCAGGTATAGTTCTTGTCTGCTTGGACCATTTAACTGGTCAAAGACCAAAATATACCCTTAATATTCCACAGACACCTATACCCAGTAATGACAGGGTCCTCCAGTGACATGTTAACTGTGTCAATAAAACATTAGCTAAATAGTAGCTGGGTTTTTCTGGTTAAAAGAAAACTAGACCTTCATTATATTCCAAGATAAGCTTTTAAAAACTTACTTTTTTCATTATGGGGTTTATTTATTTCATTATTTCATTTGGTTAGCCTCTGTGGTAACTTGGTGACTGGCAAATTTGGATCTGCTAATTTATTGACTTGACTGAAAACACAGCCTAAATCATCTAAAATATAGATCATTGCTTTGTTTGTCATCAGTCTGCTGTAATTTTAAGTAAACTAGGTAAATGTGCTTTGTCAGATTCATGCATACATGGGATGTGAGATGTATTTACTCCATCAGTTCACAAGCTGGGTCACAGTTTGAGGGCATTCAGCTCTGGGGTGAAATCACCGGCCTCTTGCACCCCTCTCCACAGTGACTACCTGCATGCCTTCCATTACACAGGCTCTACATCCCCAATAAAGTGACCACAAGAGATGCTATCTTGCACTACTGACAATGTAGCTGTTTATATAGAGTGTAAACACGCATGTGCACTGTGCATGCACTTACATGCCTTCATTTACCCACATAAGTCAACACAAGGCACAAAACTGCCAGATGTCTTCGCCTCTAATGAGCATCTACCCAGACACACAGCTGGTTTGGAGCAGGACAAAGCAGGCAGTTCCAGGGCATCAAACCCAACTGCTGCAGGGCAAGGCAGCCACAGCCTGCGGCCTCCTGCAGCTTGCAGGGGGAGTTCCTGCTCTCGTTGTGTTCACTGGCTATTGTGTGCCCTGGAACACGGTGTGTAACAAAACATACAGGCTGATGTTTTGGCACCAGGGAAGATGCTGCCTTGGTCTTGGATGCTGCAGCTGTGGTTGGAACCCTGGAAAAGGGGCAAGATGCTTTTCTTTGGTGCTGTTAAGTATGATCTGTTGAGTGAACCACTTTAAGGACAGGATGGACAGAGAAAAGTGTTTGCAAGAAAGAACATAAACTAACAAGGGTTTAATTTAGAAACTTTCTCTTTCTGTTCTGCCTAACTTGAAGAGTTCTCTGTTGTTGTTGGGGTTTTGTAAAAAGTATTCCTTTATGTTTAACAAAATCTGTTTTCTGAACTCAAGAGCTTTGTGTTTTGGGATATATCTTTCAAGGGAAAACTGGAGGTTGTTCCACCTCAAACATCTGCTGACTCCACCACAGTGCTCATATAATTATAAATGTTTATTACCTCCAGAATGAGGAGTCTTGCAGGATTATAATGTGAAATCCTTAGGTCACTGTTCCTTTGCCCCATGCTTAGTGGATTTGCACTTAGTAGATTTGCACGTGTACATGACAAGAGCCAATTGCCCAACATAAAGATTTGAATGTAAACTCATTGCTAAACTTTGGCCTGGAAGCATCAAGCTGTTCCTCTGAGCATTTGCACGTACAAAAGGTGAGTACAGAGGTAAAGAGCAATAAAAGGGCAAGGCAAAAGAGGACTCATAAAGCACCTCTGCAGAGCTACCCTGTTGGC